CGGAGCATTGATTTTTGTAAACTAATCTTGTGTGATGATGTGTATCGAGTCGTCTTCTCATATTATCAGTATTTCTGGATGAGTACGAGATTATTCGCGTGAAAGGAAGATTCTCAAATGAAGCTGATATTGAATATGATGCAAAGTAACCTATATTTTTGGACCCGAAGTGTAGGTTTACCCAGCTGCTAGTAGATCACTTCCACATAGAATCTGGTTATTTTGGAATCGAGACTGTTGTGAACCATTTGCGTCTGTAATATTGGATACTGCACGCTCGAGCCACAGTTAGGAAAAGCTTCCGTAGATGCCAATTATGCAGAATTCGAAATGCTAAACCAATACCTTCACTAATAAAAGATAATTTACCAGCGGAGAGATATGAATCAACATTTTTTTCCGTTTACGTATGTTGGCATAGATTACTTTGGGCCGATGCATGAATCTATCGGTCGCAGGACAAAAAAAAGGTATGGTGTCTTATTTACATGCCTCACCGTTAGAGCTGTACAATTTGTCGTTACGGAGAGATAACTGCGAGAATGGAAAAATAGTTAAGATCATCAGAAAATCTCTCGTATGGAAATTTGATCTACCTGGAGCAGCAAGTATGGGCGGAATCTGAAAGCGCATAGTTCGAGTCTTCAAAACTGCATTGAAGATTAGTTTCAGGTCACGTAATTCGGAAGAGAAAGTTTTAATGACATTACTTTGTGAAGCAGAATACATGATCAATTATTCTATGCCTCTGACACACATTTCGTTATAGATCCTACAGAACCGGAAGCTATCAACCCAAATCATTTTCTCTGGTTGCGTCCAGGTAGAGTTCGATCATATGGCGAAAATGAAGTATTCAGTAGAAAATAATGGCGACCTGCTGAAGTGTGAGCTGATCGTTATTGGAAAAGGTGGGTGAGATAATATCGCCCAACGCTCCTACAGAGACGAAAATAGTGAGAATGAACCTATCAAAATTGGTGACGTGACTATCACAGTAGACGAGATGATGGCAAGAAATAAATGGCTTCTTGGTAAAGTCGAGCAAGTTCCCAGTTAACCACACATGTCTCAGCTCTATCACAAGAGAGATCAGTCAAAGAACTTTGTTTCATCACACCGTTCTGAAACATATGCAACTTGCATCTAAAATATAACATGTTACTTCTACAAATCAGTGTTTCATCACATGTTCTATCAATGTGATAAATTGGAGGCATCCCAGGCGTCATCACAAAGGGATCAATTAAAAAACTTTGTTTTATCACACGTTCTATCAACGTGATAAAATTGAGACATCCCAGGCGTCATCACAAAAGGGATCAATGAAAGAACTTTGTTTCATCACACGTTCTATCAACGTGATGAAAATTGAGACATCCCAGGCGTCATCACAAAAGGGATCAATGAAAGAACTTTGTGTCATCACACGTTCTATCAGCGTGATAAAATTGAGACAGCCCAGGAGTCATCACAGAAGGGATCAATTGAAGAACTTTTTGTCGTCACACGTTCTATCAACGTGATAAAATTGAGGCATCCCAGGCGTGATCACCAAAGAGATCGATTAAAGAACTTTGTTTCATCATACGTTCTATCAATGTGACAAAATTGAGGCATCCTAAGAGTCATCACAAAGGAAATCAATGTTTCATCATACGTTCTATCAACGTGATAACATTGAGGCATTCTCGGCGTCATCACAATCTAGATCAATCAAAGAACTTTGTGGTATCACACCGTTCTGAAACTGCACTGATGCAAATTGCATCTAGAATACAGCTCGCGCTTATAGGTAAGTATTAACTAGTATTAACATTAAATTGTGATCTGTTGGTGAAAGTTTGAGGTAGGTGGAATTCAAAGTTGTGGTTTAACAACCACAAACCACGAACTGTCATAGCAAGTTCTGAGGTTTTTTTTGCTGTGATTTCCTAACCTCACTTTTTCTGGTCCCTCGTTTTCAAAACGAAACTAATGTATTTGTTTATCGAATTTCAGCAGAACGAAAATCTATCATTCACCAAAATCATCATCAACCTCTCTCATTCATCGGGACTGAGATTTTTTTTTTATCGCTTGGAGCGCACGAAAGGGAATCCCTATAATGAGATGAATTCGAAGCCCTCCGCTGATGTAAGTGAATATAATGAAGTAATCAGTACCAGTATACCAAGTAAGTAGTTATTCCAGCTGGGGTTCAAGAGACCAATTGTAATGCCAACAAAACTGCAATAAACATATCTCACTTCATCGTCTTCCTGAAATCGAAGGAACCTATAGAAGAATTTGAGGTGAGGTTATTCATATTGCAGAAAAAGAAAATTATCAATTTCGATAGAGAAAGTATAGGAACCAGGTTCAACTTCAAGCAAGACCTCAAGTTGAAATCGATCAAAATTCTGATGAGAACAGGCAAACACCAGCTGGTTAGGCCGAATGAGGGTTTTCACAATAATGACAGGTGAATACTTGATTTTTATAATTTGTTCTGTACTTGAATTTCATTTGTTCTAGTTGTAATCAGCTGGACTGAAGATTAAATATTATATTTTGTTCTAGTTGTAGTCAGCTGGACTGAAGATTTCCATGAAGAAATGTTTGGAGGGACCAATAAAAACGAAACAATGATCTCCCATGAGAATAAATCATCACTTTTATATGCATCACTTTGAAGAGATATAATCTGCAGGTGAAAAAATCCCATAGACTGAAATATTTGATGGAGTATGGAAGAAAAACATATCATATTTATATTTTACAGATGTTTTGAGGTTTTTTGACTAAATTGTCTATGGATTGAAATAAAGTTCACATTTTTAATCCTTCTGTTTTACTGTTTTGAATGCCACTCTATATGTTTAGTGGTATTTTCACTAATTTTTCAATTTCAATTGAAATTCCATGAATATATCCTAAATATCTTGCTGCATTTGAAATTGATACAAGTACTGATGAAACCAGTATAAATTTATTGATGATTAGGGATGGAGCCAATGCAGAGCACAGACTTGTCAAAAACGTCTCTGACATGCTCCATGGAAAGAGCTATGTAGAGACATATTCATCACTGTGATCTCACAGGAGCATATCTTGTTCAAGTCTGATGTTGCATCACTGATATGTCTGTGATTTCATCTGAGGCGGACATTCATCTTTGCTATATCTCTGATGGGAACATCTCTGTGATGAAACATGGCACATTTGAAATGCAGCAGTGATGGAGTTGCTGCATGTTTTGGTCAACTGGGTTCACCTTGGTGAAAATGGCGTCTTAGGGGTAATGCAAACAAAAAAAAAATGGAATTTATATACAAGACCAGTTTGTTAGTTGTGCATACCCCCCGACATCATCAACGTGTTTTAACCCAGCTTGACAACGTCGTTCCGAGGGCGCAGAATGTTAGGGCTATTTTGAAGAGGAATCCGTTACTGTTATTTTCCTCATATTTTGTACCCTATTGGATTTTGAGTTTTGACGACAATCTGAATGAAGAATAATCGTTGTGGCAGTACAGGAAATATTATAATTTTTACCTACGGCCATTATAGAAAGTAGGCCAGAGCACACGAGATACAGCCTCAGTAAGTAGCTCTTTACGCACAGTAAGCACATCACACAGTTTTCGTTTATTCCGCCAGTAATGATCGCGTAATCGCCGTCAACAGCGGATGACATAACTGTCAAGAATTATAATTCAGACTGTTTGTCCAAACTTTTTTGATGTACTATATGACAGTGAGTGAAGTTATAGTACGTAATGCGTGTTGTTAAGCAATTACGCACTATATCTTACAATCACCTTTCGCGCGCTCCAAGAGATAGAAAAATGTGTGCTATCATTTTCCAGAGCTATTCAATGTGCAATAACCAAGGTATAGACTGGTCTATAGTGGAACCTTTGGGTTTCGGATATTTTGTAGAATTTATGCAAAACTTCCCGAATCATGGAGGATGGATTTGATTTTTGGGTACAATCTTCTTCGATATGAACATGAGAGATCTATCGAAATCAAGTGTCAAATTATGATCTGTCATCATAATGGAATCGAAGTTAGATTTTGTTCCATTCGAATTTTTATCGCTTGAATATTTGTACGTCTTCAACATCGTGTTGAAATATGTGTTCCGCCTTGGAGAATATTCCGTACTTACTTATATTCCTACACCTTTTTCAATTTTAGTTCAAAAAGCGTCGACGATTTAAAAAAATATCAATTGTATTTAAAATCAGTCATTTCGATTCCAAAAAGTATCAAATGCATTTCAAAATTATCGATCCTATTTCAAAATGCATATTTTGTATTTCAAATCAGTCATTTCAATTCCAAAAAGTATCAAATGTGTTTCAAAATTATCAATTCAATTTAAAAATGCGTCAATTGTATCTCAAATTGGTCATTTTAATTTCAAAACATTCCATTTCAATTTCAAAATGCATTATTTCAATTTCAAAATCAATCATTTCAATTTCAAAACTGATCATTTTCATTGATGATGCCACAATGACAGGAACCAGAAGCTAGAAGCGTTTCAATAACAAGGTGAATGGAAATATTACCTAACACCCGTCTAACCTTTGCCTGTGCTTTTTTGAAATTCAAATGGTGCTTCATGAAATAAATTTGATTTTTTTTTAAATACAAATGACTATTTAGGACTCTGGAGTGTTACTTTCTGAGAATAATTTGATGATTTCGAAATACAATTGAGGTTTTTTGAAATTAAAATAATGACTAATTTGAAATACAATTGACGCATTTAGAAATTGAATTGATAATTTTGAAAAACATTCGATACTTTTCGAATTTAAATTGAGAAATTCCATATACAAATGATTCTTCTTGAAATCCGAATGACAATTTTGAAATACCATTTTGAACTAAAATTGGGAAAGGTGTAGATAATAGGGATATGTCGAAGTAAATCCATAATAAAGAAACAAACTGCTATAATTTATTGATCTTCTCACCACATATCTGATATTTAATTTAGGTTATCAATCAGTTTCGAGCCTCAGTATTCGTAATTTACCCTGATCAGCCATGACGCATGCTGCATCATTTTGTCCACCACAATATTTGGAAGAAGAGAAAACTGTCATCAATTTTCCTTTTTGTAGAACCTGAAAATATGAGTATTAACCATTGTCGTTTTGAATGAAAACCTAGTTGGCGAATTATAGCATTGAAAAAAAGACGATATTCTTAGTGACCTATACAGGGTATGTCTCCACGAGCTTACACTATCTCCATATCAAGAATCAGTATAGAGAAATCCATGAAAATATGCATGCTTATATTTTAGAATACCCTCTCTTCATTTAGAATATTTTCAGAAATGCAGTGTTGCCGCTTCTATCAACGAGTAGCAACAATTTTGTTATTTCAAATGGACTCTGTATTTCATTGCATTTTTTGATTCTCCCTGGAGAGCTGATTTCATCGATACATCACATTAAGGGTCTATCGGAAATGATTACAGAGATATAATCAATCAATCAATCTTTATTTCAATCTTTGCTATAAACATTACATTGCATCTCATATAAATATAAATATAATCATTAACATTTACAATGAAATAACATGAATAATCAGACAGATTCATATCTGGTATGAGATTATTCATGCGTTATCAAATTAAATTATAGTTATTGAAATAAACAACAGAATTTGAAAAAACTGAATGAAACAAAAAGCTAATGAAAAGTACATTATGACATGATGAAATGAATTAGTCAATGAGAAATCATTCACTCAGGTTTGATTTTCTCTCTGCAAGAGGATATGTTTCTTGACTTTGATTTTGAATTCGGTGATATTTGTGCAACTTTTGATATCATCAGGTAATTTATTGAATTTTGAGATAGCTCCGTGAGTGAATTTTTTTTGACCAAGTGTAGAATGAGCAGCATCAAGATGAAACAAGTCATATTGTCTAGTATGATGTTCATTGATTTGAGAATTCCTTATCAATATGAAGTTAGATTTGAGGTGTTTGTTGATAATATTAAAAGAAATCTTGAGAGTATTTATCAGATAGTGCTCTTCCAAAGAAAATGTATTTGTTTCTTCATAAAGTTGATTTGATGGGGTGTCATATGGAAGACGATACAGTACTTTTAATGCTTTTTTATACAGTACAGATATTTTGTTGAAATTATTCTTGGAACATATGAACCCCAAATATTTATGAGATAGTTTATTTTACTAAGGATGCGAGAGTATAGAACGGTATTTGCTATATTTGGGAGAAGTTTTGGACATCTTCTTAAGGCACCAACTATGGGGAAAATTTTTATGGGTGTTAAAAATCGAGATTATTCAACTTTAGGATTTGTTTGTGTGAAACTATTCATTATCGGCCAAAACGGCTTACATGTCCCCATATCAACTTTTGATTTACTATTTACTGGTATTTAATTGGAACAGATACAGGGTGATCCGAATTCTGAATCTTGAACCACCCGCCTGTATCTGTTCCGATTAAATATCAATAAATCGTGAATCAAAAATTGAAATGAGCCGTTTTGACCTATAATAAATAGTTTCGATACAAAAAAATCCTCAAGATGAAAAATCTCGATTTTGAACACCCTATATCTGTAATCATTTTCGATAGACCCCAAGTGTGATACATCGATGAAATCAGCTCTTCAGGGAAAATCTAAAAATGCGATGAAATACAGGGTGTTCCATTCGAAATATCAATGTTGATACTACTTTCTAGTGGACGCGGCAACACTGCATTATCTAAAATATTTTAAAAGAAAAGAGCGTATTCTGAAATATGAACATGCACATTTTCATGGATTTCTTCAGACTGATTCTGAATCAGTCATTTATTTGTTATCCAAACTAATAGTCCATGAATGTTATAGTAGGAGAGCCGGCTGCAGATTACTACCGTCCAGTGTTGCCAGCTGCTGAAGATGAAATGTCGCCAAAAGTTAGTGAACAAAACCGCTAGAAGTCGCCAAAGCGAGCGAAGCGAGCAGGAAGCCCGCCGCAGGCATCATTTTTGAAAATTAAGCGACTTTTTTTCGTGATTTAGCGACATTTTTGATCATATTTTATCATTTCCAGTTAGTTTATATCATCAGATAAAATCGTAGAAAACTTTATTTATTCAGATTCTCTTCAGAATGAAAAAATAACAAAACAAAATGAATATAAGTGAATTTTCCTATACAATTTCATTCGGTACTATTAGGTAGGCACATTTCGATCGTATACAGGTTTGTCCTTGATCTCATCACACGTTTATAAACCTGTCAAACCATGACCATGTATCATATATTTCTAGCTCAACATCATACAGATCTGCGACTCCATCGCAAATAAGATATTCGTTCACAAGCATCACAAGTTTTTAAACCATATCGAATATATGAAGAAAACTGACCCTGTCGACAGTCATTCTCTTCTCTGCTTATCTCTTCGTCTCAAATGTTTCAATGTGCATTGTTCATATATGTCGTCAACAATTTATGTGATCAAAATATCTCCATATAAACCGCTATGACTATGTGGAAAACGCTAGAATTGCGACACGTCGCAAATCAGGTTGAAATGTCGCATTCACCTACCCTAAAAACTCTAGATTTAGCGACAAAACCGCTAAGATGGCAACCCTGCAGTACCGTCATCTGATAACGAAATGAGACATGCCTCCTCAAAGGAAAGTGAAAATATTTTAGTTCTACGAACGGCACTTGTGGCAATCACTATCCTGGACAGAATGATTGAAAAATTGCACTTTCCTGTGCGATAATTTGCACGCAATTTTGATTTTTGATAACGAGAAAAGAATTATGCTATCCGATACCAATTGAATGGTAGATCTCAGAAACCTACCTGTGCTATATTTGCGATATATTTGCTCCTATTCTCCCGGACATACTTCCGTCATGTGATAACGAGTTGAAACAAGAAGCAAATGAGAGGGAAACATATCCCTATTGCGAATATCCAAACGTGCCACGATTAAAACTGATTTAAGTTAGTGGCAGAGTGTCAATAGTTCCGTGAATATTCCGTCCTCGTCGAGAGATAATATTTGATGGACCAGTTGTGATATTCATGTGGGGCTCACGCTACAAGTATTCTAATCCACATGTTCAGTTTTAAATTGGTCCATCGGATAATATCTTTAGAGGGGGGCGAAATGGTCTCGGAAGTATTGACGCTCTGCCACTAACTTAGGTCAGTTTGAATCGCAGCACGTTAGGATATTCGCAAAGGCGACATCATTCCCGTTGATTTGCTTCTTGTTTTTGGGTTTGGCACGGACTGAGGGGTGGCACAAAGGTGGGTTTCTGAAATCTTCCATTCAATTGGTATCATATAGCATTATGTTTATCTTATCAAATCGCGAAATCGATTGCGAATTTCCGCACAGGAAAGTGCAATTTCGCTCAGGATAGTGATTGGCACAGGTGCCGTTCAGTAAATAACAATGGTTCGACATGCCTTTGGGACATATTGTAGTGTGCCAGGATATATACTGGTAATAATAGGTTCATTTGTATCTTCAATCGGCCAATTGCGTATGCAATCTACATTACATGGCATGTGCATATGTGGTAGGGTTTTATTAGTGAAAAAAGTGTTGGACCTTGGGAGTATAGCGCGGGATCTTTGCACATTATTTTAGGGTGTATGATTTTAGAGGTATGAGCAGACGATAGTCATGATACTAAAACGCCAACTTAATGGATTTCACACTGGAACTGGTGGTTTGAGTTTTCGTTTTGTGAGAAAATATGACATATAGTGGATGGTGTTCATTTTGGTGATTTTTTTTTAATAAATGGTGAAATCTGGTGGTTGAGGACCTGCATCCGGAATTCCCCTTGATTTATGAAAAAAATCCAATTTCAGCAATGTAAAACTATAGGTACTTAGAGAAATACTGGTATCAACTGAAATCACTGTCTCACGGTTATATCCACTTTTTGGCTGAAATATTCTCTTTTCATTTCTTTGTTGTTCTTATGCGTAACATATACAAGTATGTCATTGATGTTATGAAGCATTTGTTCTGTTCGTCTTGTTTCCTGTTGGAAAAAAATTTTTCTTCACATTTATTTATATATCGTTGAGCCAAGATCCGTTGACTAGTTAGACTAACATTATCTGGTGTAATATCTAGTGATCTGAACTTAAGTTGAAACCACCAGAAAATCACTAGATTTGCAAAAATTCTAGCCTGCGGCCCACTTTCCTTCGACTCCGTCAGCAGGTTTAGTGGTTTTTTGTTGTTTTTCAGGTGACCATTACGCGACTTTTGAAAATCTGAGTTGGCAACACTGGGCGATAGTCAGAGTTGATTTTACTCAGTCGACGCTTAGCGATGGTCAACGAAAGACGAGTCTAGGTTTTAGTTGTAAAGTAGTACGTTTTGCCATATGATACCAGCTTACTATTATTTTGTTTCGATGTTCACACCCTCTGTGACTGGAAATTAAGTGATTGATATCTGATTATGCGATTGATGTAATGTCCGAACCTACCCACAATAAGAGGATCATTACAATATTTATTTTTCGTTATCAGATGACGCTCGAAATTTGCAGCCGACTCTTGCACTATTAGACGAAAATAGCCAAACCTCGGAATTTGTTGAAGAAGGTTCGATTTTGATGGGGCAAAGAAAAGTTCTGTTCGTGATTACATGTACAGGGTGACTGAAATTCGAGGCTCATCATTGGGATCTCGTAAACCGTGAGAGATACAGGGTCGGTTAAATTATGGCAAAGTTGCGCAATTTCATGCTGAGACATTTTGAAAAAAAAAACCGAATATCCGTGATTTCGTTTTTATTTTTTGTAACTTTATTTGAAGTGTTCTGTCGAAATGGGTTCCATATTAGCATTACCACTTTTTTTGCTCTATCTAATGGCATTAATAGATTCGTGTTCCGACGTTTCGTCTTCGAGGAGCTATCATCAACTTTGTTTTTTAAATAGTCGAAAATGCATTTTTTGTTCCTGAAGGACCCTAATTCCAATTCTGAATCCAACGACATATAACACTTTGCAATTATCTCACGTTTCGGACTGGAAAATCATTATCAGTGTTAATTTATGATGGTTACGAAGAGACGAAACGTCGGATCAAA